CCTGCCCCGCTCCCGCTCCTGCCCCCGCTCCTGCCCCGCTCCTGTTCCGCTCCCGCTCCTGCCCCGGCTTTATCCCCGCGCGGCACACGCCGCCCGCGCCCTCCCGCACCACTGGGCTGCAGCGCTACCGCTGCTCTGACGCGCGGCTGTTCCCTCAGCCACGCTCCCCCGCGCGCTCCTCCGAGGGGGGGGAGCCGATGCCAGGGGGGCTATCGTGATAATCGCCGCACTAAGATAAGCACAGGGGGGAGAAAGGCAGATCAGTCTCTCCAGCCGAGAGCACCCGTGTTCTGCAGCACCGGCTGAGCTCACGCAAGCTCAGCAGCCCGTGCGGGAGCTCCGCTCTCCTCCAGGACGCGGCTCCAACACAAACAGTCTCTAAGGTGTGGCAGGGAGGTTTCAGCCCGCTTCACAGCGTGACACCTCCTGACTAGCATAGAGTGATGGGGCAGCAGATGAGCTGTGAAGAGGAAGCTGCTTTCCTGCACCTACAGGAATTTTCCAAAGACCTTTTTCCCCTTAGAGAGACAGAATCTTCCCCTTGGCAGGGATTTCCTCTTGGCCTAGAAGAAACATAAAAAGTTCGATGTGAAACTGCTTCCTAGGGTTTGTAGAAATACTGAGGCTGTTGGAAAAAGCTGATTATATGGGAAGGAGAACAGGAAGGGCTGTCCCAGCCCAGTGAGTCCAGTGCTTAAAGCAACAGGCAGCCATGTATACTGGACTCAAGCACTGATAAGGCAGCAGCAGGTATGTTCCTTGTGCTCTCTTCCCAAAAACACAGGAAGAAATCTAAAATCACAGAGTCATAGAAACATAGAATGTCTTGGCTTGGAAGGGGCCCCTAAAGGTCAAAGCCTCCTACAATAAGCAGGGTCATCTCACACTAGAACAGATTGCTCAGAGCCCCATCAAGCCTGACCTTGAATGTCTTCAGGGGTGGGGCCCCCAACACCTCTCTAGGCAACCTGTTCCAGTGATCCATGACCCTCATGTCAAAGAACTTTTTCCTAATGTCCAACCTAAATCAACACTTTCCTATCTTGAAACCATTGCCCCTTGTCCTATTGTTACATGCCCTTGTAAACTGGTCTTCCCCAGCCTTCTTATACAGGTCCCTTTCAGGCACTGGAAGGTTGCTATGAGGTCCCCCTGGAGCCTTCTCTTTTTCAGGCTGAACAACCCCAACTTCCTCAGCCTGTCCTCATCAGAGAGGTGCTCCAGCACTCAGATTATTTCCATTGCCCTTCTCTAGACACACTTAACAGGTCCACATCCTTCTTGTGTTGGGGGCTCCAGAGCTGGATGCAATACTCCAGGTGAGGTCTCAACAGGGCAGAGTAGAGGGGCAGAATCACCTCTCTTGATCTGCTGGCCACACTTCTTGTGATACAGCCCAGGATGTGCTTGGCCTTCTGGGCTGCAACTGCACATTGGTGTCTCATGTCCAGCTTTTGATCCACTAGAACCCCCAGGTCCTTTTCCACAGGGCTGCTCTCCAGCATGTCTTCGCCCAGCCTGTATTCATATCTTGGGTTACCTCAGCCCGGGTGCAGGACCCTGCACTTGGCCTTGTTGAACCTCCTGAGGTTCACCTGGGCCCACTTCTCCAGCTTGTCCAGGTCCCTCTGGATGGCATCCTGTCCCTCTGGCTTATCGATCACACCACCCAACTTGGGTCATAAGCAAACTTGCTAAAGGTGCTCTCAATACCTCTGTCAATATCATTAATGAAAATATTAAACACTACTAAACAACTCTACTGGGAAGAGTTCTGCCTGTGTGGTGTCAATGAACCCTGGCCAGAGCAGGTTCTGTACAAAAAAGGCTTTATTTAGCCATCAATTAAGACTGTTATCTGAGAACTTGTATTGTAAGCTGGTCACTCACTGGTGAAAATTACAACTCCAGAAGATGCTTGTGGCACCCCCAGCTAATTACCCAGGCTGTTGAACACAGCAGGACAGGAGACACGCTGCACTCCTCTGCAAACTGCTGCCAGCAAAGATTCCTTCCATAGATTGTTCACTTTGAGCTGTTTCGGCAGTTTGCCTGTTTCAGAGGAAGCTCTCCAGTGAACCTGCTGGGGCCACTAAGGTGGCAGTCACCTGTGAGTATTCAGAGAAAAGAAGGAAATCTGTCCAGCTCTGAAGCCAGAGAGGATGGCCCCAACCTGACACTGCCAGGAAACATGGAGAGTCTCACAGTGTAACTCAAAGGCCCAGGGAAATGGCAGCAAGCAGAACAGGCAGCATTCTGCTGTGGGTTTGGGGTGAGAACAGAGTGCTTGGTGGCATATGTCCTCCTCTTGCTGGGCTGCTCCCAAATCCCCCAGTGCTGCTGGCCACTGCAGAAGGGTGTTCTTAGTCTTTTGACCCTCAGGCTCCAGCTCTTGGTCATCCACATCGATCAGATCCTGCTCCCCTCTACTACAATCCATATTCCAGTAAAATTTATTAATTTTGTCTGATTACTCCCCTTGATCTAATTCTTAATTTCAGCAGGGTACCCCCGCATGTGTAGCCAAAGCCACTGTTACCTTTGAAGACCAGGTGACTCCAGAAGAGCAGGAGGTCCTCTCTTCACCTCCTCAGCCAAACTGCAAGGGGGAGGTTAGGAATCCCTTCCCACACAGCCCAAGCTCAGCATTCTCCAAGCTGGATTTGGTGTCTTGCCATCCAAAGGAGATGGTCCCACCACACACCAGGCAAGCCCACCTGAAATATCCACAAAGGGTAACAGCCCAGTGGAAGCTCCTATGTCACCTGTGTGTCCTTCTCTTCCTCACATCACCGCTGTGGTTTCATTAAAATATACCTCAGTAAGAGCTGTCTGAACAATTCACCTACACATGGTTGTTAGTGGAGAACAGGCTATGGTAGATCTCTCAGCTTGGTACCTGCTCCTGCTGCCACTGATGGCAAAGGGAGCAGCTGTACAGGAATGTCAGGACTTGGTATGATGTATCTCACTTTTGTTAAGTGAGAAGTATCTGGGAAATGAAGTCATTTATAAAGTGAAAGTATTTACAAAATGTTTGAAATAAAGCTAAAGTTCATGACTTAAGGTAACAAAAAAAAAGTTATCAAAAACATCTGTGCAATAACCATCTTACCAAAATTATAATAAACTAGGAAACATGCCTGGTAAAGGTTGCAAGAGGAATATAAAAAAATCACCCAGACACTCAAAAATGCAAATTGGAAACACTCAAAATAAAGGAATAATGCCTTTTTTTCTTTTTAAATGCACAGCTAAGTGTGCATTTCCCCACACGCCATTTCTCTGGGAACAATCTTTCTTCACTACTGTGGCTTTGCTGAATCAACACAAACAGTCTCTAAGGTGAGGCAGGGAGGTTTCAGCCCGCTTCACAGCGTGACACCTCCTGACTAGCATAGAGTGATGGGGCAGCAGATGAGCTGTGAAGAGGAAGCTGCTTTCCTGCACCTACAGGAATTTTCCAAAGACCTTTTTCCCCTTAGAGAGACAGAATCTTCCCCTTGGCAGGGATTTCCTCTTGGCCTAGAAGAAACATAAAAAGTTCGATGTGAAACTGCTTCCTAGGGTTTGTAGAAATACTGAGGCTGTTGGAAAAAGCTGATTATATGGGAAGGAGAACAGGAAGGGCTGTCCCAGCCCAGTGAGTCCAGTGCTTAAAGCAACAGGCAGCCATGTATACTGGACTCAAGCACTGATAAGGCAGCAGCAGGTATGTTCCTTGTGCTCTCTTCCCAAAAACACAGGAAGAAATCTAAAATCACAGAGTCATAGAAACATAGAATGTCTTGGCTTGGAAGGGGCCCCTAAAGGTCAAAGCCTCCTACAATAAGCAGGGTCATCTCACACTAGAACAGATTGCTCAGAGCCCCATCAAGCCTGACCTTGAATGTCTTCAGGGGTGGGGCCCCCAACACCTCTCTAGGCAACCTGTTCCAGTGATCCATGACCCTCATGTCAAAGAACTTTTTCCTAATGTCCAACCTAAATCAACACTTTCCTATCTTGAAACCATTGCCCCTTGTCCTATTGTTACATGCCCTTGTAAACTGGTCTTCCCCAGCCTTCTTATACAGGTCCCTTTCAGGCACTGGAAGGTTGCTATGAGGTCCCCCTGGAGCCTTCTCTTTTTCAGGCTGAACAACCCCAACTTCCTCAGCCTGTCCTCATCAGAGAGGTGCTCCAGCACTCAGATTATTTCCATTGCCCTTCTCTAGACACACTTAACAGGTCCACATCCTTCTTGTGTTGGGGGCTCCAGAGCTGGATGCAATACTCCAGGTGAGGTCTCAACAGGGCAGAGTAGAGGGGCAGAATCACCTCTCTTGATCTGCTGGCCACACTTCTTGTGATACAGCCCAGGATGTGCTTGGCCTTCTGGGCTGCAACTGCACATTGGTGTCTCATGTCCAGCTTTTGATCCACTAGAACCCCCAGGTCCTTTTCCACAGGGCTGCTCTCCAGCATGTCTTCGCCCAGCCTGTATTCATATCTTGGGTTACCTCAGCCCGGGTGCAGGACCCTGCACTTGGCCTTGTTGAACCTCCTGAGGTTCACCTGGGCCCACTTCTCCAGCTTGTCCAGGTCCCTCTGGATGGCATCCTGTCCCTCTGGCTTATCGATCACACCACCCAACTTGGGTCATAAGCAAACTTGCTAAAGGTGCTCTCAATACCTCTGTCAATATCATTAATGAAAATATTAAACACTACTAAACAACTCTACTGGGAAGAGTTCTGCCTGTGTGGTGTCAATGAACCCTGGCCAGAGCAGGTTCTGTACAAAAAAGGCTTTATTTAGCCATCAATTAAGACTGTTATCTGAGAACTTGTATTGTAAGCTGGTCACTCACTGGTGAAAATTACAACTCCAGAAGATGCTTGTGGCACCCCCAGCTAATTACCCAGGCTGTTGAACACAGCAGGACAGGAGACACGCTGCACTCCTCTGCAAACTGCTGCCAGCAAAGATTCCTTCCATAGATTGTTCACTTTGAGCTGTTTCGGCAGTTTGCCTGTTTCAGAGGAAGCTCTCCAGTGAACCTGCTGGGGCCACTAAGGTGGCAGTCACCTGTGAGTATTCAGAGAAAAGAAGGAAATCTGTCCAGCTCTGAAGCCAGAGAGGATGGCCCCAACCTGACACTGCCAGGAAACATGGAGAGTCTCACAGTGTAACTCAAAGGCCCAGGGAAATGGCAGCAAGCAGAACAGGCAGCATTCTGCTGTGGGTTTGGGGTGAGAACAGAGTGCTTGGTGGCATATGTCCTCCTCTTGCTGGGCTGCTCCCAAATCCCCCAGTGCTGCTGGCCACTGCAGAAGGGTGTTCTTAGTCTTTTGACCCTCAGGCTCCAGCTCTTGGTCATCCACATCGATCAGATCCTGCTCCCCTCTACTACAATCCATATTCCAGTAAAATTTATTAATTTTGTCTGATTACTCCCCTTGATCTAATTCTTAATTTCAGCAGGGTACCCCCGCATGTGTAGCCAAAGCCACTGTTACCTTTGAAGACCAGGTGACTCCAGAAGAGCAGGAGGTCCTCTCTTCACCTCCTCAGCCAAACTGCAAGGGGGAGGTTAGGAATCCCTTCCCACACAGCCCAAGCTCAGCATTCTCCAAGCTGGATTTGGTGTCTTGCCATCCAAAGGAGATGGTCCCACCACACACCAGGCAAGCCCACCTGAAATATCCACAAAGGGTAACAGCCCAGTGGAAGCTCCTATGTCACCTGTGTGTCCTTCTCTTCCTCACATCACCGCTGTGGTTTCATTAAAATATACCTCAGTAAGAGCTGTCTGAACAATTCACCTACACATGGTTGTTAGTGGAGAACAGGCTATGGTAGATCTCTCAGCTTGGTACCTGCTCCTGCTGCCACTGATGGCAAAGGGAGCAGCTGTACAGGAATGTCAGGACTTGGTATGATGTATCTCACTTTTGTTAAGTGAGAAGTATCTGGGAAATGAAGTCATTTATAAAGTGAAAGTATTTACAAAATGTTTGAAATAAAGCTAAAGTTCATGACTTAAGGTAACAAAAAAAAAGTTATCAAAAACATCTGTGCAATAACCATCTTACCAAAATTATAATAAACTAGGAAACATGCCTGGTAAAGGTTGCAAGAGGAATATAAAAAAATCACCCAGACACTCAAAAATGCAAATTGGAAACACTCAAAATAAAGGAATAATGCCTTTTTTTCTTTTTAAATGCACAGCTAAGTGTGCATTTCCCCACACGCCATTTCTCTGGGAACAATCTTTCTTCACTACTGTGGCTTTGCTGAATATTTGACCTTTCCTGGGGCAGATGGATTGGAAACCAGATGAGTGAGAAGTGACTTTTCAAAAAACTAGACACTGATCTCTGATAAACAACGTTGATTTTCTGAGCATCTTAGTCCCCCCTATAACAAATCACATTAATCATAAGTATCTGTTTATAGTATGGTCTTTCTATACATATCAGGCTGCATTTTTCCTCCTGAAGTGAAGGATGCCATCTTTATCTTTCACACAAGCCAATTCAAGAACTGCTGCATTTTAACACCAGGAACAAAGTCGCTGTGAATTTGACAGCTGACTGAAAAAATAATTGTAGAAAAAGTAGAAACTTTGATGTGATTCCTATTAATCCTATCTATCATTGCTAAAAATCTTTGCCTAGGATGTGCCTGATGGCAGAGCTCCTTTCAGATCTTAGTGAAACACTAAATTTGACAATTTAAGTCTTTATAAGAAAATGGGTTTGATTTAGTGTGGCAAGGTTGACCTTGGGGCATTACCAGGTGCCCACCAAGCTGCTCACTCCCCAGTTGGCAGGACAGCAGAAAGTCAGATTAAAAACTCATGGATTGAGATAAATCCAATTTGATGGGGAAAAAAAAATAATAAAAAAGGTCATGCATTAAAGCAAATAATAAAAAGATTTATTCTTTGTGTCCCATCAGCAAAGTCCAGCCACCTTCATACATGTAGTGGTTACTTTGAAAGACAAATGCTTGAGTAACAAATGTAGTCCCACCTCCTTCTTTCTTCTAGCTTTTATTGCTGAGTACTACATTATATAGCATGGGATATCTCTGTGGTCAGTTGGGGCCAGCTGTCCTAGCTGTGTCCCCTCCCAACCTCTTGCCTACTGGCCTTTGAGGGGTGCTGCAAAGACAGCCCTGATGCTGTGGAGCACTGCTCAGCAGCAGCCCAAACACTGGTGTGGTACCAACACCCTTCTAGCTAACAAATGCAGAGCACAGCACTGCAGGGGCTGCTACAGGGCAAGTGAACTCCACCCCAGCCAGACCCCATCCCTGTGTATCCCAACATAATGTGTTTTTAAAATGTCAGTCCCTCAGATTCAATGTAGTCCTCCACACAACTGACATACATGATTTAATTAACAGAAATAGTTTATTTTTTTTAAAAAGCAAACAAAAACCTAAACCCTCATCTTGAAGGGTATTTACAGCAGCTTTTTAGTTGCATAGGTAATATTATAGCTTTGGCAGCCTTTAATGAAAAGAAGAGCCACACTAGCAAAGTATCTTAAGCCATCCCACTGCTTTGTAAGTTGCTACTAAGATCTACACTAGAAATTAGCAGGTCTTGATAATTTTAATTAGTCTTCTGAAAGGTCAAGGTTCCCTGCTACAGCATATATGCAGGCAAAGTGACCCACAGCCATCTTCAGTGAGAGCCTGAGAAAACAAAACTGCCCAAATCCAGCTCTTTTAAGGAGAAAGTAAAAATACAAAGACATGGCTGCAGCCACTCCACATATTTAGTGTTTCTGTGACACGCTGGGGCATAGGCTGATGAGCACTTTGGGACTTTTCCTATTAGCTCCCATGGCCAAAGCTTCAGAACAGCACTGTTTGGGGAGTGGGGTATGCAGAGGTAGAAAGAGAATGAAGATTAGGTTTAGGCCTTGGATCCTTCACCACAAGGAGTGGTTCCCTCACTGTGGATCCAATACTGTATTTTAAAAGCCTCATTTGGACAGTATTTGAAAAATATGAATGATATTTTAGGAAGGCTGAAGAAACAGTACCTGAAAAAATGCCAGCTACAAAAAAGAGGCAATGTCCTGCCCATTACTGGCTCAATTGCTTTATTCTTCAGACAGCAGTCCTTGAAAAGCTATGCGAGTTCCAGCTCTTATATCTTATTCACTGGGTAAAAAAGCTGACAACAGAATTCAGTCTGAAACCTTTGGCACTTCTTGAATTACAGAGCTGACTTCACTCCCATACACTATGACATTTAATAACAGTGCAATACCAGGTTTAGTTCTCCCAGTGTAGTTGAAATTAATTGAACATTTTCCATCTTCAGTACTGAAAACTGTATTTTTGAGTCAAACTACTACTCTTCAGTTTTCAAACATATCTGTAGAAAATTGCCATTAAAAACAAGTTTCATAACCCTGACTGAGTCCGTGTTCATATCCATGTTTGCATACTACTATAAATTTACTTATCTGTAAAATTAAGCCCATGAGATGGAGTTTTCTATAAAAGATATCACTTACTTACATTATCATCCCTGCAAGAAAACAGGCCTTTAGAAGCTTTAGAAAGAACTTCTGGTTTCAGGCAGTACTTCAGAATATTAAACACTCTAGTCTAGTGCATCAAGCAACACAACACCTAAATCATATAAAATTTGGTGCCACTGAACAAAAAAACCCCAAACAAAAAACATTTCATAGAGGTGAAAATTGGAGGCAAGCCCTCATTTACACAGAAATGTCACATAGAAAATGCCTTGCAAACTGCTTTCCATTTTCTTCACTGACTTTCACAGTCTCTCTTGTACAATGAGCCTGAAATCACTTAGCTCTTCTTGACGTTGCAGTGCTTTTGAATGGATCAAATTCATCCTGCAATTTGCAAACAGACACCTGTTACCAGAACCAGTAGGCATTCTGGGTCACCATCAGTCAAGTCACCCTTAGATTAAACTAGAAGGCCTGGTCACATTGTTCCATGTTCTCTGATAGACCTGTTTTTGTTGGGTTTGATATGAAGGAGATTATCCAGTGATTTAAAAGTTCAGATCACAAATGTACAGAGAACAGAAACTGAGTTTACATCAATACGGTTGGAATGGCTGCTTTGAAATGAGGAACAACCTGTATGTCAGGTGTGACCTGGTAGAATGTTGCCATTATGAGCAGCACATACCTCAATAAAGTTATGTCCATATATGTGTACGTATCATTCATTATTTACTGAGAGTTGGATAAATAACAATAATAATAAAAAAATACTGTTCCTAATTGCACGTTCAAGCAAACATGTAATTTTGTATTTCAGGTCCAGGAAGAAGAGATAGCACAGTGGGGAGAAGGGACAGGAATGTAACATTTTCTCCGAAGTGGCCAATATTTGACATTAAGGGGAGGATCCTGACCATACGTGACAGTCTGCTAATCTGTGAGAAGAATCTGCACAGTGCCCAACACTATAATCTGTATTCCATTCAGTGCAAAACTGTGAAGTTCTTCTTGTTTAATTACAGAAGAAACCATTTCCTAGCAGATCAAATATGCACTGCAAGAACAGGCACCTTAAACTTGATGATAGTGTTTTAGGGGTTTTTTTAAGAGTATTTAGATAATTTACAACAATAAAACAATTTAGTGCCCTGGAAAATAGCCATTTTTTAATGTAAAAAAGTTTAAATTCTTCCTTTTTACAAGAATAAAATACATTGTCAAAGACATAGTCAAGCACTGGAGGAGATTACGTTGACTTTCTTCCAAAATAACCTATTCTACATATTTCAGGAATGACAATTAACTGATTAAGAACTGGAGGGGAAAAGGACTAGATATTTTCCTGAGGTCACTTCTAGCCTTATTTTTGATGATTCTTTATATATTCTAATTAAAGTTGCTTGCAATAATCTAGCCCTGTTAGTGAAGAAAAAAAATAAAACAAGTTCAATTTTACTCTGAAATGCTTTATTCAAATAACTATCAATCAGTAAGCTACAGAAACTTACATGGAATAAAAGAAAAAAGACCACTCTATACCATACCTCATCTGACTCAAAATCAACGCCTCTAGATGTTTGGCTTTGTGAACCTCTTTTACTCAGTGAAGATGTAGTTGATAACCTTGAAACACAGAAAGAGAAAAAAAGGTATCAGCATGTTCTCAATCATCAGACGTTCCAGTAACTCTCCAGCTTGGCTTTGGACCATCAGTACAGAGAGTAAGAATTAAACGAAACAACAGGAAGTAGAACAATTTGAAGTATCAATTTATTAATTCTAAAGCTCTGGTCTATCTTATCTTAATCAGTAGTAGATCAATTCATTATTATAGAAAGATCATCCACATTTGCTCTTGTAACACTTCCAGGGATGGGGATTCCACAACTTCCCTGGGCAACCTGTGAAGAATTTCTTCCCTGGGCAATCTGTGAAGAATTTCTTCCTAATGTCTAGCCTAAATCTCCCCTCTTCCAGTTTTGATCCATTACTCCTTGTTCTTGTATAAAAAAGCCCCTCCCCAGCTTTCCTGTAGCCCCTTTCAAGTACTGGAAGGTGCTGTAAGATCTCCCCAGAGCCTTCTCTTCTCCAGGCTGAACAGCCCCAACTCTCTCAGCCTGTCCTCACAGGAGAGGTGCTCCAGGCCTTGGATGGGGCCCTGAGCAACCTGATCTAGTGGAAGGTGTCCCTGCCCACACAGGGGTGTTGGAACTAGATGATCTTTAAGGTCCCTTCCAACTCATGATGATCCCATGATGATTCTATGACTAGTAGGTAAAAATCTATATAAATCCTCTTAAGTATTGTTATAACTTTCTTAAGCATCTCTTTTTTCAGCTAGTGGATGAGATACTTGGACTCTGCTGATTGCCTATCAGAAGTAAGGCAGTTGTGGTAGCATTCATGAAGCAAACATACTGACCTTTGATTTACTCTGGGAGAAGGAGTAATAGAAATCTCTTCTAGATCAGAGTCATCATCTATAATATCCTGAAAAAGGACATAATTTATAAAGCTTTTTAACAGAATTTATTCTTACAGAGATGTCATGCATAATACTACAGTACTATAGCACAGAACCTTAACTTTTTTCTTTTTTCAACTATATACCCACTTACTTATAATACACACTTGACAGGACTCAAGGCTAGAACAAATGCACCTCAAGTTTTGCTCTTCAGATCTTTGATCTTACAGAAACCTCCTAAATACTCATGCATATACTCTGTATCTTAGGCTACAATCAGAAATAAAATGTTGTCTTTGTTTTTCTCATACAGATCCCATACAAAAAAGGGTACAAGAGGTCTACAAATCAACATGCAGAAACTTACTGCTGAAACCGGTAGCTTGGGAACATCTGGTTTAGGCTAATGTTTGGACCATATATTTATTTTTCAAATCAGAAGACAGCAAAAGGGAGCACAATTTCACTCATGAAAGATGCTTCTTACCTCAGAGTAAGACTTTGATGAATTCAAAGAGGACTCAGGTTTCAAAGACCTAAAGGCTAGAAAAAAAAAATGTAGTATTTTTTAAGCGCTCACACAATAAAATGCGAACAACTTTTATTTAAGACCTGCTTAGCATGCATTTCCTCTGCAAAATACCTTGTAAAACAAAGAAGCAAACCCCCTCGAGCCCAAATCAAAATGTAAATTAAGCTTTTGCTAGAGTCTGTAAAAAAACTGGGATCTAATCCTGTGTGCAGCGAAAGGTTCTTCCCAGTCTGGCTGAAAAACCTTCAGTAACTTGGGCTAAGAGGGAGAGAAAAACTGTAATTGATATTCCTGTATATCTAACACTTTAGACATCAACACATCTGCTAAAAATGATTTATCTACAGTATTTTAGGTCATTTGCTGACCAATGTGAAATTTAGGTAATTTGCTAATTAATTTAAAACTCACTCTATCTTTAGACATTGGGATTTATGTGTAGAATTTAAGCAGCATTTTTTTCTTTGATACTCAGGATCACTCACACTGTTTCCTCAGAGCCCTTGTAGCAAGGAAGGGCTACTCTCAAATATGGAGCTTAAATTACAGATAAGTTTCTCTTCCCTAGTAAAAACTGGCATTTCTAAAACTTGCTGCAAAGGAAGCCTAAATGCATTTGCATTAATGGTTACTCACTTGCAAACATCTGTCAAATGTAAAGGTTTTATCCACTGAGAAATATTCTGCATAAAATAGATGTTATTAAATCACACTCCCTCTATGCTTATTCCTTAAGGAATTGCATAGAGCAAGATGTTCCCTATTTCCAGTTCTAGTCAGAAGTTCCTGACACATTTCATTTTACCCCATGACAACAGGATATCATTATTCTTTTTTTTTTTTAATGTTAATTTTTCTTTCTCTCATCACTTTTAGTTATTCTCTTTCATTAGAACCAAAAAAATCTGTTACAGCTGAATTGGACTAACAGAAATAAAGGCAATTAAGGCACTTCATCATTAAATAACCAACCTCATTACGATTTGAGAGAGCAAATTAGAGTAACGGACAGAATGAAGGCCTACCATCTATAATGGACTTATTCTTGGCAGGCACAGACACAGGCTTGTAGGCTCTGCTGCCAGTAGCTGACTCTTGGGTAGTGCTTCC